CATTACTTTTGTTTTAGATGGTCAGTTGTCTTTTTAAGAAATTAATGAAATATATTTAGCCACATATTTACCATTTCCAACAATCTTCATTTCTTTGTATTTGATACAAATTCCCTCCTGGCTTTTTTTTTTTTTTTTTTTTAAGAGAGTGGGGAGAGAGAGAGAGAGAGATGGGGGAGGGGCAGAGGGAGAGGGAGAAAGAGAATCTTTTTTTTTTTTTTTTGCTTTAAATCTTTTTTGGGGGGAAAGGACACCACACTTCTACTCAATTAAGAGATACATTTTTACAGTCTTGAGGTCTTTCATTTTCTTTACATTTATCATGCCATGAATGCATAGGGAATGGGTTCCAGCAGTTTGGGCTCCTTTCCATTGGTCCTCACAAAGTGTGCTTCTCTGGGTGGGGCAGGCTGGCGCTTCAGTTGAACCCAACTACCTTTCTCTTTGGCTTCCTTCTTTCTCTGAACATTTTCCTTCATACGCTTCAGGAAGCTATCTCGGCTCATTGAGTGTTTAATATGTGTACGTTAATTCTCTTGGCAATAATCTTGCGCGGAACTTCTTTGTTTACAACAATGCCAACAGAATGCTAACATCATAGACTCTTCCAGTTTTGCCATGGTAACATTTGTGGGGCATTCCTTTTTGAACAGTGCCCATTCCCTTGATGTCCACAATATCACCTTACAGATTTGCATGTATGTGGCCAAAGGAGCAACTCCATGTTTTCTAAAAGGCCTAGAGAACATATAGTAGGTACCTCTCCTCTTTCCCTTTGTGTTGGTCATTTTGGCAAATTACTGGAAGATGGCGGTTCCACCAAAGAGAATCCTAAGCAGGCTCCACACCGAGCACAGAGCCCAGCATGGGGCTCAGTCTCACAACCCTGAGATCATAACCTGAGCTGAAATCAAGAGTCCGAGGCTTAACCTACTGAGCCACCTAGGCGCCCCTCCCTTCTGGCTTTAGAACTTCCTTTAACATTTCTTGTAGTGGAGATTTGTTGGTGATACTTTCCCTCAGCTTCTGTTTATCTGATATAGTCTTGCAGTTTTTAAGGATATGCTATTCTAGCTTGACGGTTGTTTTTTGCAGTGCTTTTGTCCTAATGTCACCTGGCTTATATGGTTTTGGATGAGAAACCAGTACTGATTCTTTTTTTTCTGCTTACATGTAATGTGTCTTTATGGTCTCTGACTTCTCTGAAGATTATATCTTTATTGCTGGTTTCCAACAACTTGATCTTGTGATGTTTTTTTCTCCCATCATTTTTGGGGTTTGTTGAGGTTTTTTGGTCTGTGGTTTCATTGATTTTATCAAATTTGTATTTTTGTTTGTCTCCTTATGCTTTTGTCTGGATCTCTAATGTACATATTTTAAATCTTTTGATATTGTTATATAAATCCCTGAAGTCTCATCATTTTTATTAAGTCTTGTTTGTTTCTGTGCTTCGGTTTGAATAGTTGCTCTGTCTTCAAGTTTATTGATTGTTTCACTATAGTGGCTATTATATTTATAATACCTGTTTTTAAGACCATTGTCTGCTAATTTAATCATTTCTGTTATTTCTGGGTCTGTGTGTATCAAATCTTTTTTACTTGTCTCTAATATTTCTGTCTGTGGATCAAGTGTTTTTTTTCTTCAACTTTCTTGAACTGTCTAAACTTTATAGAAAGTTTGCAGGAGTAGTCACAAATAATTTTTTTTCCTTAAAGCATTTGAGAATAAGTTGCTGCTGTATGCTCCATCACCCTGAATACTTTAGTGTATATATCTATAAAAAATACATCTTGTCACATAACCATAGTACAACCATCAAATTAGAAAAGAACATTATTATTACCACTTAAGTTTTATCACTTGTCCCTATACTGTCCTTTATGACAAAATGATCTGGTCCATAATCATGTGCTGTGTTTGTCATGTTTCTTAAGTCTTCTTCAGTTGGGAACAGTTCCTCACTCCTTCCTTTGCTTTCATGACCTTGACAGTTTTGAACATTACAGGTCAGTTATTGTATAAAATATCTCTCAATTTGTTTTTTTTTTGATATTTACTCATGATTAGATTCAGATTTTTCATAGAAATAATGCTGTGTTCTCATTACATCCTTTCAGGTGATACTTGATTTTAAATTGTCCCATTGCTACTAATGTTAACTTTGATTATGGGGGTGTCTTCCAGGCTTCTCCATTGCAAAATTACTGTTATCCCCATGAAGTTAATATTGCTTTATGGGTAGTTACTTTGAGACTGTATAAATAGCTTGTTCTTAACAAATGTTAATGGTAGGTTTCCATCTCTTTGAGCACTTTCTTACTGTCTAGGCAGTAAGATTTCCAGACTCATTTTGTACATCGCCTGTCCCAGCCTTGGAATCTGCCATTTCTTTAAGAGGCCCTGATATCTTTTGGTGGAGAATTTGGAAGCCAAGTTTTTAGACTTTAAAAGCCATGCTCTGGGTGCTAGGTATCCTTATAATTATTGGGATACGGCTACTCTCAGGTTCTCCCAGGGAACAGAGCTCCGGGATATGAGTGTGTATATACACACACACACATACACATATGCACACACACACATACACACGTACACACACACAGGTGTATATATATATGCATACACGTTTTTATATTTATTTATGTAAATATATTGAAAATCTTGAATTTATACTGGTAATTCCAATTTCAGTTCAATACAGCAGAATTCATTCTCAGTTTCTTTATTTAAATATTTACCACTCCTCTAGTAGTGAGGAACCTGGCTACTATTATCCTTAATTATTTATTTGATCAGTCCTTTTAAATATAATTCCCCTTTACTGCCTCTGCCCCTTTTCTTCCAGAACAAACATACTCCTCACCTGTCAGGGTGATGCCACTATCTTCCTTTCCCACCACTCCCCACCTCTTGTAGCACCATCCTCCTCCCACTGACTTAAGCAACCTCTGCTGGGCTGCTCTTCCCCACGTGTACTTTTCTTACTCCACTAGGGCTCTGATACCGAGTACAAGGCCACCCTGTCGCCTCAATGCTTTCCTTATCCTGTCCTGCCCCTCCATGTTCTTCCTTGACATCTTCCAGACTGTACACCTGGCCACGTCCTACCCTTCCATGAGGATACCTGTCTTACCCCACTGGGGCTACAATATTCGGTATAATATTGCACTGCGCTGCCTTCTCATGTGGACCCTTTCCTCCATTTGCTTTGTGTCAGTACTCCATGCTGTTCTGTTCCCTTGTATGGGAACTCTCCATATCATACCTTGTCCAGACCCTACTAGAATGCCCTCCTCATTCCACTCAGACTGGGACACCTCGTATTGAGCCACCCTTCGCACTGCGCCAAAGTTCTCCTTACCCCCTTGATCTCTGATACCTCATGTTAGGTGGTTGCTACCACTACCCCCGTGCTGATGTCCACTTGTCCGTCTGCGTTCCTCCGAACCCCCCTCCAGCCAGAGGAGATAACTCCCTTAGAACAAAGTCTCAGGACCACCAACACTGCTAACCCTCAGTCAGAGCATCACACCATATCAATGACAATGATTCTTGTCACCTTCAAGGTGTCCATTCATTCAGCCTCTGTCTGAATCTCCCTTCAGATATCTGCCACTCAGCACTTCATTCAGCTGATAGAAAAGCTCTTTTCCCTTCTTGTGTCCAGGTATTTTAGAAGGGGTACCAAGGGTGAAAAGTTCTATAAATTTTTTCTAACTGGCCATCAACAGGGAGAATCCCTATAAAAGTGGCTCATCTCCAAGTGATACACTGCATATCGCTGATTCAAAGATGAACATTTTTTTTGTTCTGGAGGGTTGTTTTTTTTTTTGACATTTAACATTTTTGAATGTTAACATTTTTCTTTCTTAAATATCTAAAGTATCATACATTGTATGAAAAACAGTAGGCTTTCCTTTTTTATTGCATACCTATCTACTGTCTCATGACACATAGTCATCACATCACAAAAGTCATGAGATAGTGAAAACAAAACAAGGGGCACCTGTGTGGCTCACTCAGTTAAACATCCATTGAATTTGGCTCAGGTCATGATCTCAGGGTTGTAAGATTGAGCCCTGTGTTGGGCTCACTCACTGGGTGTGGAACCTGCTTAAGATTCTCTCTCTCCCTCTCCCTCTGCCCCTGCCCCACCCCCCAAAAATAAAAAAAAATAATAAAAAATCAATAAAAACAAAACAACAAAACCCTGTTGTCCTGAGACCACAACTGTTCCCTTCAGACACTGGTATAAAGTTTGTGCTCTAATGCCACATGTCTTTCTCAGCTGTGGGAACTTTCTCTCACTGTACTCTATTAAATCAGCTGAGAAGAGCATGTTTAGCCCTGCAGATTCATATAGTCAGTATCTACATGGCCAAGTCAAGTGAGAGCAGAGAGCTCGAGAGTGGCATTTATACAGGAAATACTCAGGAACTGTAAAATAATATGGATTACATGACTTCCATTCCATTCTCAGGAATTATTATGGAGTCATAAGAAGATAGCCCTGAGGTCTTGTTTCTTGTCAGGGAGGGATATTGATCTGGTGGACTAGGATCCAGAATGACATGTAGACCTGCTCAGAACCAGCCACTGGTTAGATCTGGGAATACATGGATGGTATCTCTGTTGGTCTTCCAAATTAGACTGTTCTCTCTTCAGTACCTCGCACCACACCTGATATATAGTAAAAATATGCGTTGACAGATAGATAAAGAAGAAGAAGTTAAACTATTATGTTTAGTCACAGCCTTTCCTTTGCATTGATGTATAGTTTTTGGAATATGTTCCAAAATATTTTGGAAATATTTTTAATATTTGAGACATAGCTAACATCCAATGAAAATAAGTATGCTAAAGGAGCCAATTTAGTTAAGAGCAGATTTTTATTTTTTTCCTCTTTTTCTTCTTTTATGTATTCATTTTCTCTTTCATCGAAAGACATACATGTGGTTGCATTTACCAGGACATTGAACAGTTGTTTTCTTTTCATGCAGGGGCCTGAATTAATGAATAAATATGTTGGTGAATCTGAAAGAGCAGTTAGAGAGGTAAGATGATTATGCCTTGAAGTGGAACTCTGCATAGGGGAACCATCCTTCTGTCCTTCTATATGGTCTTCATTTTGTTTTGGGTTATAGATTCTGAAATTTCCAAATCTAAATTCTGCTATATTTGTTCTTCAGGCAAACATTATTTTATTATTTAAAAATGCAGTTTCGATCATCTACAATACTTTGTGTTTAAACATCATAATACTACCAGCCTTCAGTCTTACCAAATGAAGATTTTTAACAACTGCCGTCATTTCATTAAAAAAAAAAAAACTCTACTTACAAAGATTGCTTGATCTCAGAATGAGATTTAAATCCTTTAAATTACGTAGTCCTTTAAATTGAATAAGCCTTAGTATATGAAAATTTCACTGTACTCTCCTTATTTTAATTATTTTACCTTTGCCTGGTGATTTAGACAATGCATCCCCCCTTCTAAGATTTAAAGCCAGTGCCTAATTGATAGGCCACTCATTCATATTGTGGAAGCCGCACAACTGGTAAATTCATGCAAAATCAGGGCACTTGGAGTTGGGTAGCTACAGCCATTTGACCACAGGTCTTGGCTTTCCTAGGCAGGGGTTGGCCTGCCTCACACAGACACCCTGTATTCTTACAGAAGCTAAGCAAGGACAAGAACACACTAACAGCAATGGAATGGATGGTCTCCCATTTGTGAATACCTGGGTGCCAACCCAAGAGTATTAGAGATTGGAATACTTGGTTTTTCATCTAAGAAAAAATCTTAAGTTACTTTTTGTTCTTTTTTTTTCCTTTAAAATGTAGATAGTGTTAATTTTAGGAAACATTAACAACAGTATCATCATTGATTCCAATAAGAAAAAGACAATGTTTATTAATATTAATGTTTTGGTAACTGTTCTTTATTTTTATGGTAGTGATCCTTGTGACCAGAAAATGGGGGCCTAGGTTACAGATAACACACGTTTGGATTTCTTTCTGCTTGTGCTGACTTTTTCTAGCCTGTTTCCACATTTTGCCCCTGTGGCTATTTGGCCAGTCCCTATTGTTGATAGTCTGATTGACTTCTGGTCTAATTAGTCTGTGCTCTTCCAAGGTTTGGTCATTTTTCTTGTTCTGGCTTTACATCAACCATTACTTTCCTGCACAGTCTTCAGAGGAATGAGCAAGGAGTGTGGCTTTTGGGTTTATGGGTATTTTATATGCTAAGCTATAATTGATTTTACATGTTTATGGTTTTTTTTTAAACGTGTTTATGATCGTTAATAATAGCTGTCATTTACTGAGCTCTTACTATGTTACAGGCATTGTGGTAAATGCTTTGCATTCTTTTTTTAACTCAGTTCTTAAAATAATCTTCTGAGGCAAGTATTTATCATTATCTCCATTTTTTAGATGTAGAAATTGAAGTTTAGAGAAGTTACCGGCGAAGGTCACGATTAGGCTGGTTGACTTGCATGTAATAGATTTAGTTCCTAACATAGTTTTCAAACAAAAGCCAACTGCAGAATTTTCTGAAGTTTGCTGACCTTTAGCTAATATGGCACTCTTTTCACCAGATCTTCCGAAAAGCGAGAGCAGTGGCCCCTTCCATTATTTTCTTTGATGAACTTGATGCCTTAGCAGTTGAAAGGGGCAGGTAAGAAGTATTTAAAATATTGGCAATTACATTGTAAAGTAAGTAGCATTTCATACACAAATTTTATTTATTAATACATTTAGCCTAAATAAAGCATTTTTATAATTCACAGTTTTTTTCTCTTACACCCAACTATTTCATGTTATCACTTTATAATACTTTCATATACATTTTTTTTTAAAACACTGATATCCATTTGGGGCATTTAAGTTAATTTTTATAGCTTATTATTTAGAGACCCCTAGTACTGCCTGTCAACATTTGGGTTGTTATATACATATGATAAATGTAAATAAAACTCCATTAAGAATAATTATACAATACAGTAAAACCAATTATAATAAAGGTGTTATTTTACTGATTTTAGTATTCTCTGGATTATGTTTCCTAAAATATAGTTACAGTAGAATAAAAATTAGTATTAATAGTTTTGTTCCTGAATCTCAAGCAATAAAGATTATATCATTTTAAACAGGTGTGTGTATATATACATATATATATATGTATACAGATGTATATGTGTGTGTGTGTATGTGTATGTGTGTGTGTATCTGAACTGTTTACAAGTATGTGTTTTTTTCTTCTACAAATGTTTAGAGGTCCTTTTAAGGATTATATATTACAAGTACTTCATGTGGAGAATGTTAATTTGTATGCTTTGTGCATACCTTCTTGATGGGATATATTGATTAGAAAAGTTTTGCTTGGGATGCCTGGGTGGCTCAGTCGGTTAAGCGTCTGCCTTTGGCTCAGGTCATGATCCCAGGGTCCTGGGATCGAGTCCTGCATCGGGCTCCCTGCTCACTGGAGAGCCTGCTTCTCCCTCTGCGTGTTGCTCCCCCTGCTTGTGCTCTCTCTCTCTCTGACAAATAAATAAATAAAATCTTAAAAAAAAATAAAGAAAAGTTTGCTGATGATAATTACAGTGATGGTAGAAGGCACCTTTTAGGTTCCCAGTATTAAAGTCTGTAAGAGGCATTGGTGCTCTCTTTCTTCCCAGGTAGAGCTGCCTCATCAGATGAGAATATGAACTGTCATTAGGAGACTATTATTAGGAGGTAGTCTGCCTGCTCTTCACTCTACCCATTTGATATCCTATAAATACCTACTGATCTTTTTATTTTATGAGTTGAAGTACTTGGACTCTTTTATTACTTCTGAGGTGAGGTGTCACAAAAGGTTACAAATAGCTCAAGTTCACCTTAACTACAAGAGAAGAAAAAGAAGCCAGAGAAGTTTGCTGAAGCAGTGTGACCTGCCACATTTATGTGACATCAGAGACATTTTTGGAGCCTAAAAAGGAACAGGGTGGGATACACTGTTAAATATGAACCAGATGGGAGGTAGTATATGTAGCAGAGTTCTCATAAAATGCTTTTGAAATAAAATGGTGTGAGAAACCAGACAGGGCACTTGATAGGAATATCCTATTTTTGCAGGCAATTTGGCCCAGTAGGAATTTGCAAATATTTTAGAGATGCTAGTGATTTGCAGCCTCCAGATATCATTTCCCCTAACAGTCTTCATCATATTGTGTATTGTATACCTCCCTCCCTCAGTGTCTTATTCAAACCAAGGTCAAATAAATTCTATGGTGTTTCCTTTGTATAGAAAAATTTTTGGTCAGGTTCATTGATGTTTCAGAAAACAACAATGAGGGGCACCGGGGTGACTCAGTTAAGTGTCTAACCCTTGATATCTCAGCTCTGGTCTTGATCTCAGGGTCATGAGTTCAAGTCCCCCCTGTTGGGCTCCACGCTGAGTGTGGAGCCTACTTAAGGAAGGAAGGGAGGGAGGAAGGAAGGAAACAACAAAACAACAAAACAACAATGAGGCTGATAAACAAACGTAATGCTAATGGTCCAAAGTAGAGACTTGGCTGTTACCTTAGGTGCACTAAGTCTTTTTTTTTTTTTTTTTTTTTTATTCATGAGAGACAGAGCGAGAGAGAAAGGCAGAGGGAGAAGCAGGCTCCCAAGGAGCAGGGAGCCCGATGCGGGACTCGATCCCAGGACCCTGAGATCATGACCTGAGCCGAAGGCAGACGCTTAACCATCTGAGCCACCCAGGCGCCCAGGTGCACTAAGTCTTACATAGATTGTTTTTTATAGCCATAAGAATCTCAAAGAGTGATAGTCTGTTTTCACTTGTGGATTTTTTTTTTTCCTGTTTTTGTTTTTTAGAATTGTGTGATGGCCAGCATTGCCTAGAAAGTGATTGTTTATCTAATTAGAATGGCTGGCACTTAAAAACCGAAACATATAAAACCTCCACATTTATATTTTTGTTCTTCAGCTATTTGAATTGGACAGTTCCTAGAAATTGAAAAAAACAGCTATTGATAGATACCAAAAGTATAAAATTCCCAAGATACTAAACCAATTTTATGCATTGTTAAAGAAATAGAAAACATAGAAAGATTAAGAACTCCATAAAGTAGGAGGCATTTCTACATAATATTGGGCTATAGAATAGTTATTGCTTTAATTTGTTTATTCTTTTTATGTTTTCTATGATAACATTCAGGTCAAACCCATATGACTGGTTAAAAAATGACAGTGCATAAAAAGACTGTTTCTTCTTATCAAGATTTTAATTTCTAAACTTAAAATGCTTAACAAATTGAGCAGAGAATTATGATATACTCTAGTCCCTGTTACCTGTGTGTGTTAAATCAATTATTTTGACTATTTGAAGTTACTCAAGTTAGCCATGAAACTGAGGTTTGCAGCCAGGAAGCACATTGTAAATAAAGCATTGATATATTGTTTGCTTAGTTTTAGAAATATTTGTGCTTTCAGAACGAAAGATTTTTTCATGCTTATAAAAGTATCCAGTTACAACCACTATTTTCTCCTCCTCCCTGTCCCCATTAAATTTCTCGATTTGAAAAATAAATAAGCCTGTTGTTTACTTTTTTTCTGAATGCCATTTAAATTATGGGTGTTCTGAATTCATATTGTGAGTTGGAGAAAATGTTATAAGTTTCCCTTTATGAAGTGCTTTGATGATCTCTGTAAGACTTGGGAGAATTGAGGGCGCCTGGGTGGCTCAGTTGGTTAAGCGACTGCCTTCGGCTCAGGTCATGATCCTGGAGTCCCTGGATCGAGTCCCGCATTGGGCTCCCTGCTCGGCAGGGAGCCTGCTTCTGCCTCTGACCCTCCCCCCTCTCATGTGCTCTCTCTTTCTCATTCTCTCGGTCTCAAATAAATAAATAAAATCTTAAAAAAAAAAAAAAGACTTGGGAGAATTGAAAATGCTGTTAAAGTAGCAGAGCTCTTTGGAAAATAGATATTGTATCAGGGATTATTTTTATATTTTATATTATATTTATTGAATGCTTAGTCTGCAAAAGCACTGAGGTAGTGAAGAGATTTAAATTATACTGGGCTAATAATGATACTAGGTAATATTCATTTAGGGCTTGTTAGGTACTAGAAACTATTCTAAGTGCTTTATAAAGAAACTCACAGAAAGTCCCCTGCTTTAATGCAAGGTAGGATATTATACAGTTGACAATTGGCTCCAGTACTCTGCCTCACCTCCCAACTAGTTTAAATATTTACCCTTTTCAGGGTCATAGTCAGGAGGAGAGAGCAAGCTGAGCAGTAAATCATCAGTCAGCCTTGTCTTAGGCAGCAGTCCTGTCCTCAGAAGTGGAGAGATATAGAGCGAGTCCCCATATGCTGTAGTCTCTTAGCCCAGTCCCCTCTGATGGAGAAAATGGCCACTGACTAACCTAGAGATGCCTAGAAGAACTTTCTCTGTCTAGGACATTCTAGCTAGTCCCGGGATCCTAAATTATCCTCATTCGCTGACATTGATTGCCTGGTAATGCCAAACCTCAAGCAGGATTAGAAGAGGTTCGAAATCAGGAAGATACCTCTGGAGCTAAAGAGGCTCATCTTGTTTGTTTAATTAATTTCCAAATAATGTGACTGTCTTTGTTTGGACCTCACTCACTATGTTATGGTCTTTTTTTTGTTCTAACTTCTGATCATCACAACAACCTTAGAAAGTATAGGTCCTGTTTTCATCTCCGTTTTACAGGTGAGAAAACTTAGATATATAGATGCATAAATACCTTAGCTCAAGGTCATGTATCACTAAGAGCAGAGCTGGGATTTGAATTTAGGTATTTTGACTCAGAACAGATACTCTGAGCCACTTTTTGACTCAACTACCATACCACAGATGCTAGGATTCCAGGTATAAGTAGTTAACCTTTCAAGCTTGTATTTATTGTGCATTTTCCCTGTGACTTTAGTAACGACCCTGTTTGTCTAACTGGGCTGTTGTTACATTTCTCATTCATTCACTTGTTCAGTAAATATTTATTGAATGCTTAGTCTGCAACAGGCTTTATGTTGGGGATAAAACAGTGAACAGTACCTAGGGCAATTTCCTTAATTTCCTTAACCTCTCTATGCCTTTGTTTCTTCATTTGTAAATTGGAGATGATAGTACTAACAAATTTTAGGTTGTTAGAATTAAATACACATAAAGTGCTTGACACAGTACCTGGCATTTTAGTAACTGCTTAAAAAACTTTAGTGTTTCTTACAATGTCTGCATAGATATTCTACTACTAATAATAATTATTTCCATATAGATAGAAATATAGTAATAGACATAGAAATGAACCCTGTCCCACCAGAGTTTACATTCTAGTGGATGAAACTGAAACATTCGGGAAATTAGAAAAAATATTCTACAGATGACAGGCACTATGGCGTTTCATCGATCTAAGATGCCTTTAGTTGTAAGACACATCATTATTGTATGTACCATTACTGATGAAAAATGTAGCCTTAAACTGTGATACGGTGCCAAGAAGTCACCAAGAGACGTCTGATTTCAAAAATTTAAAATATGAAAAAAAGGTTGTATCTTAGAAATAGAAGAAAGTGAGGTACCTGGGTGGCACAGTCACTTTGAGCATCTGACTCTTGGTTTCAGCTCAGGTCACAATCTCCTGGGTCATGGGATCGAGCCCCGTG